GGCACACATTTATCTCACATCTTGGCTTTCCCTTGTGTTATCAGGTTTTATTTATGACCTGGGTTGCAACCATTGGAATACTCTTACTTTGACTGAATTATATTCATTAACAAAGATCTCTAGAATATGGCCAAGGGGAAAACGATCTTTAAAATCTGAGATGAAAACAGAAATAACGTCATCATTGAATATAACAAGAAAGATACTTAGGTTACCATTTCAGTAATTCGCATAAGCTTCTCTTCATATGATCTTTCAATCTGCTCCTTGAACTCGGTGGAGTAGCCCTTTAAAGCATCAACCACTTCTTTTTGATCACGGAGTTTAGTTGGTCCTTTCTGTGTAATAGATACAGATACAGTAATTCTTTACAATAAAATCACAACAAACTGAAAAAGAAAGTAAAGACTTAACCTTCAGCTCCGCAAACAACTCATGATAACATTGAAGATGAAGATCAAAATCGCACCGCTCGCATCTGTAGAAAAGTCCCACGATACTGGCACGGCACAAGTTGCAGTAATGGCGCGGCATGAAAGGAGTAAGCCTGAGAGGATGCGGGTGCAAAACGAAAGACACTTCTTCAGGGCTGTCGGCACAGTCTCGATGGAGATCGAAATCGCACTGTTCACATCGATACCACGTGCCGGTAACTGGAGTGCCGCAACCATCGCAGTGGAACCCTCTTCTGCCCGAAGAATACTTCGTCAACGGATGGCGATGCAAGAAATGTTTTATGGTTTCCTTTGGTTCGGGTGAGTTGGCACAGTGAAGATGGAGATCGAAGTCACACGGTTCGCATCGGTACCTTGTGCCTGAACCCGGAGTCCGGCAACTGTCGCAGAGGAACTTTGTGCTGGCCCAAACTTCTTTTAATGGATGGCGGTGGATGAAATTTTGTATGGTTTTCTTTGGTAATGGAGCCATCTATCTCTCTGTGTATCTACGCAAGGGATTGTCATTGTCTTGTTTTTTTTTTTTTTTTTGGGCTCAATACATTGTCATTGCTTGATGCATAATATATAGTGAAACTGAGCAGCAAAAATATGCTTTGCGTGTTCAAGTTGTGACAACAGCTACCTGACGATTGATTAAACAGTAAAGTATCTTTTAGGATTATATTCTTGATTAATTTAGGGCGAATATTTAATGAAATGTGATCATAAATTAGTGAATTAAATATTAAAATTATTAATATATCAATATTGTATTAAATTTACACATCACTAATAAATAATTATATATAAATTTAATATTCGGAATTTTTAATAGGATATTATAAAGCATTACATATTCGGATTTTTTTAAATAGGATAACTACTTTGAATTGATTCACCTGTTTTTTTTTTTTTTTTTTAGAATTTTCCAAGAGATAAGAATACATGTTGTATTCCCCCTTCATGGGATTCCATTAGCAAAAGATTTTTCTTCAAAAACATGCCACATAGCGTGTGTTATTGTACTGTTGTGTCGAACCCAATAAGTTATGGACCTAAATTCCAATACCCAACCATTGAACATGCAGGTGAAGGAAAATAACATCATATCATATATGGTCAACAAGGTAGTCAAGTCGATTCAGAGTGACGGTAATGATGAAATCAAATACCATAAATATCTTATCATTGTATTTCGAAGATTGATCTCAAAGTGTAACATCTTAAAATCAGGGTCAGTGACTAAAATGAGAATTTTTGAAATTTGGGGATCAATTTAGAAAAAATAAAAGTTCAAGAATTTAAATAGGAAAATTTCAGTATTTGATAAAAGGGTAATTATGAAAGGATTATAAGGGTATTATGATAATTTAACTTGGAAGATATTTTATCTCTTATTTAGGGAGATAACACGTGGGAAGAGAGATATCTTGAAGCTTTCTTTCTTCATCTTGCTTTCTCTTCTTCACGTGGAGTTTAGCTACAAAAAAGTAAGTTGAATTTTTATGGTTGTTTAGTTGAATATTAAGTAGGTTTTGATTATTTGGGTGTTATATAAGCTTAAGTAAAGCTTACGTAAGCTTAAAACACCAAGAGGAGAGAATTAGAAAGGAATTTTTATTAAGAGTTTAGAAATGAACTTTTGTTATAGAAATGTTTTTGAAGTTCTAAGGATGGTTTTGACTTGTCAATGGGTTAATTAAGAAAGTTAGAAGTGATAGAATTGAATTTAGAACACATGGAAAATTTGATGAAATTCTTTGATTCAAGAATTATGGTGAATTATGAGAGATGGTGAAGTGTTATAGTGTTATAAGAAGGTTTACATATGTAGAGATAAGTTTTAAGGTATAAGGAGGGATTAATAAGTAGAATTTGGGGACAAAGTAAGACATTTTCAGGCTCAAAATGTAATTTCTGGGTTGTGTGCATCGGTACACATTCAATGGGTACCGATGCACTCTCAACGAAATAAACATCGAATGCAATGAGTGCATCGATGCATAGGGAGTGCATCAATACACCTCTTAAAAATGGAAACATCGAAGGTATTTTGTGTATCGATGCATGGGTAGTGCATCGATGCACATGTTAAGGGATGCATCGATACACTGTAGAATGTACCGATGCACTTCAATGGGAAATGGAATGAATCTTTCTTTTAGTCTAAGAAATTATAGATTATAGTATATCAATTGGATACTGATAGTATAAATACATGATTGTGTAGACATCGATCGAAAACAAAGTTCGGATAGATCGTCAGAGGAAGATTCGCAAGAAAGAATAAGAACTTGATAGTGTTCATTGTGACCAGGTGAGTCCATGATATTAAGTGTACGTTATGATAAGGAATTAAGACTTGCAACGAGTCTAATTTCGACATTATGTGATAGGGGTGCTGAAGCATAAACATGTAGTGATATTGTGCTAAATGTATTGTATATGAGTAAATGCATATGTTTAATTGTTGAATGTATCTTTATATGTGAACTATGTAAATGTATGTATGTGTGATAATAAGTTATGTGATCCCATGAGATGAAATATATGTGAAAGTGATATGACTTATATGTGGTTCTACTAAAATATTACATGATATGCTATGTATGATAAATGAGTGATGTGAAAACATGTTAGTGTAATAAACTAGGTTAAATGTTATAACTGAATGAAGGGATTGTATAAGAACATGTATATGCGAACATGTGTTATGAGATAAGAATCATGATTACGATCTTTGTGAAAAAGAATACAAGTAAAGGTGAAAAGCTATGTGATAAGTGAATGTGAATTACATGGAAATATGCTATGTGAAAGTGAACTATGTGCTTACGTGAATATGTGAAAAGATATAAAAGGTAATGCCCATGTCATGTATTATGAGAGCTATAGGTATAGTTGGCATGCCAAGAGTCGAGGGATTATCAGTGGTCCTTCGGGACATAGTGGTCCTACGGGACAAATTTCTATGCGCCCCTAGTGGGATTTATACGAGCTGTGGTGACAGCATTGTGGACAACCTCTATGTACTCACATACCTTAAGTTCTCAAAAGAGTGCATGGACATTAAAGATAATAAATATGTGTTATGATAATATATGTGTTCTTTGTGAAATGATACTTATGCTATATGACATGTATAAATGATAAGCTCAGAATCATACGATAATAGAAAAGAAGATAATGATAATGAGTGCATATGTGTTTTGTGATAAGAGATGATTTGTGATTATGTATGATATGCCATTAGTATTTATTCATGTATTATTGTGTTTTGGAGTTATATTATACATTTATGTCAACTATATGCTCATATGATAGAATAGAATTAATGGCAAGGAAATAAGTATAATAAAAATGTTAATGATTGGTTCAATTGGTATGTAATTATGATGTGCATTATATGATATATGTATGCCTTTTTTGGTTTACATGGTGCATTTACATGTCTCACTAAGTCTATGACTTAGCGTGTAAGTGTCATACACGTAGGTGTGGATAAGTCAGAAGATCAAGCTTTGGATCCGTAAAGCAGCATATCTCCGCACAAAGTTCAGATCATAAATATTTTGTAAAGTATGTTCTGTCATGTAAAGTAGTATGTTGGCATGTAAACCAAATTATTATGAATATACACTCTGATGGAGTTTGATAATGTTTTAAACTAGTTTATGTAAAATATTAACTTTATAGAAAGGAAATTAATTAAATTTTCTATGGTTTTTATAAAGGTATGTGCTTTGACTAATCAATGTGACACCTCAGATTCGTATTCGAGTCGGATCGGGTTGGGGGTGTTACACAAAGTGTGTTCAGTACACATCCTCTTCAACAAACAAACAAATATGGACGAAGATGTCCAAGGCGAAGGACCCCGACGTACTCGACGAGCGTCACATCATTATCATTTGACCACTTCTCGATATCCTCAAGAACTACGAAAATATAAATAAATTTTAGGCTTAAGGGTCACCTTTATCCCTATAGTATACCCAATTTATCATTTTCGATCCTATCATATTTTCGCATCAATTTAGCTCTCTAAGTTGTTTAATTGCATCATTTTATACCCTTCCCCTAAATTAAAAGTTTAGTTACTAAAATAAGTCAAAATTGATTTTTACATACTAATCACTTTACCCTATAAAATTTTAACTTGTTTGATAAAACCAATGCTTAGGTAGTTAGGCCCCTTTCTTCTTCATGTACTCAATTGAAACGGGTTATTCTATAGTAAATGGGGTAATAGTAAGAATAACCCAAGAGTTTAGGGTGAATTCCCATCTAATAACGATTCAGCAATGATGTGTGATGTATGCATATTTGACGAGGAATGTAGAATTAAATCAACGGTAAACTATTACTCTTTTAGCTTTTTTTATAAAAAAAAATGAGTTTATTATTACATAGTTTCAAAAAACAGAAAAGATTTATAATATATCAACTTCAAAAGACATCAACAACTCTGGGTTTTTAAACTCCACAATCATGGTTCTACTAAAATAAGGAAGGGAAGAACAAATAACAATAAGAGAGGCAAGGCATTTGTGGGAACAATCATTAATTTGGCATTGGTTGTATGCTGATGGGGAGGCCCTCCTCGGGAATGGGAGAAGGGATGTAGGAGATCTTCTCTTGGGGGTTGATTTTGGTCCATTTGAAACTGGTGATGAGGTTGTGTATGAATGTCAGGATTTCAAGTCTCGCATACTCTTTTCCTGGACACATCCGAGGACCTCCCCCGAATGGCACAAACGCGTAGGGCGCTGGACCATTTCCTTCGAATCTTGATGGATCGAATCTCTCAGGATCCGGGAAGTATGTGGGATTCTTGTTTGTTGTATGCACCGTCCAAAACGCCTGAACCAGTTACACATCAACATCAACCATAATGAATGATGCCTACTCTCTAGTATATATATGAGAAATATGGGGGGACTTACCTTCCATCCCTTTGGAATGGTATAACCGGCGTAAGTAAAGTCGGGAATGGCCTCTCTGAAAGAACCATTGGCAGGTGGAGCCAACCTCATTACTTCGCATGCCACGCACCACGTATACTTCATCTTCTGTATATCTTCCCATCTCAATAACCCTCCCTCTTTGCTTCTCAATACCTCCATTTGCTCTGCACCACTTCATCATTCAATTCAATCCCCCCACCCAAAACTAATATTAATATTAAAATCCAAACCAAAAAGTACGTACCTTCAAGGACCCTGTTATAAGCCTCGGGATGATCCGAGAGATAGCTAACAATGAAGATGATTGCAGTGCTTGTTGTGTCATGGCTGGCTATAAAGAATCCCACGATCTTGTTGTCGATCTCAACCTCCGTCATTCCATCCATTAGCAAAACTGTAAATGATAATAAAATGAGTGAATCATTTCAGGATTCTCATTTCAACCAATCAAATACATATTATTCATTAAAAGCTTTATTTATTACTATTTATTGTACCATATGTTTCTTATCAATTATGCATCTTATGATACACATAATATGGTATTTTTATATTAAAATGAAGATGAATAAAAAATAAGACAATGGTAAAAATGAAGATGTTTTAGATCTTTTACTTAATTTAGTTTGGTGATGAATTATTTAAAAAAATAAAGTTATTGTATTTGTATTTATGATTTTTTAAAATTGTGTAAAATGAACTTTTCATGTTAAAATGTAAAAAAACATTTATATGTTTTTTTTAATATTGGATGTTTATATGTTATTCATTAAGATTATGGTTGTTATTATCTAGTATAATATTTGTATAATATGTAATTTTTTAATGAAATTATATATATATATAATTATATTTTTTAAAATAAAATATATAAAATAGTATATTAATATTATAATATTAAAATATGAATGTAAAATGTAAAAATATAACATTTTATAAATATTGTATTTTTTAGAAATAAATCACGTTCGTGGCAGTCGTTACGCATTATGTAACATCTGCAGGCATTTGCGACGGACACTGCAACCACAATTTAATACTTCAAAACTTGACATGTTCATTATTGATGATTTCATGGGCTTATCTATTAGTTTCTACGTAAAACTTTGTAAAGAAATATGTGTGTACAGTGTATACAAAACGTATATGACATACCATAGGTTCCACCATGGGTTCATCACGCAGTTGAGGTCCATCGGTGTACTTGCTATACCTCTCAATCAGATCTTGCATGGTCCTTCGTTTCCAGAAAAAAAAGTACTATTAGTTTGTTTTCCCTACATATATAAGGGTTATGCATGCCCATGCATGCATGTATTCTTCTATTTTGAATTAACGTACATACATATTGTTGAAAATGCATGCAATCTCCGAAAGTGCCAAGTAAGTTGGCATCAATAGTTAAACAACATTAATGCACCAAAAAGTAGCTGAAAATTGTTGATTTTTGGGTAAAGGTATAATTGCAATTTAGTCATTGTATTTTAGAATATTTATAAGATTAGTCAATAAGCTTCAACTATAAATACCCTAACCCATTTAGCTTCAAAATCATCCCAAATCATTCTAGCTTTCTCCCAATACTAGAAAATTTATAGAGTTTTCTTGAGAGTTGTTTTCTCCTTTTTATCAAGAGAAAATTATCATTGTTTTCTCCTTGTTAGATCGAGTGAAGTTGTAATTCCTATTTTCTCATGGTGAAATTATTCTATTGTTGCCCATGGTTTTTACACTATATTATTTAGGGGTTTTCCACGTAAAATTTGTGTCTTTTTTTATCTTCATTTTTATTTTATCAAATTATCAATTGCGATTTTGCTCTATCTGATAGCCGTATTCTGCAACAATTAACATCAGAGCCAGATTAGAATGTGTAATATCTACTTATTGTCTTTGTGGTTGCCACTAAAAGGTGGATCCTCCAACATAAGAAAGTAAGAAGATATTACCCGTTCTTTGAAGGTTCCAGAGAACTATTCACGATAGTGAAATAGTGGGAGCTATCCGTAATAGAAGATATGACAATGAAATTTGATATTGAAAAGTTCAATTGGAGAAATTTCTCATTGTGGAAATTGAAGATGAAGGCCATTCTGAGGAAAGACGATTGTCTAGCAGCTATCAGTGAAAGGCCGGTAGATTTCACAGATGAAAGCAAATGGAACGAGATGGACGGGAATGCTATGACAAACTTTCATCTAGCATTCGCAGATGAAGTATTGTCAAGCATCGAGGAGAAGAAGACAGCTAAGGAGATATGGGATCATCTCACCAAATTGTACGAGGCCATATCGTTGCACAATAAAATATTTCTTAAGAGGAAATTGTACACTCTCCGGATGCCAGAATCTACTTCAGTGACGGAGCACTTAAACATGTTGAACACTTTATTTTCTCATCTTACGTCCCTAAGATGTACAATAGGAGAACAAGAACGTGCTGAACTTCTACTTCAAAGTCTACCTGATTCGTATGATCAACTCATCATCAACTTGACAAACAGTAATATCACCAGTTTAGTCTTCGATGACGTTGCAGTTGTTGTTCTACAAGAAGAAAATCGGTGCAAGAACAAGGAAGACAGACAAATAAATCTGCAACAAGCAGAAGCGTTGACAACGATGAGAAGGAGATCATCAGAGCGTGACCAAAGCAGCAGTCACAAATATGGTAGATCGAAGTCGAGGAGTAAGAAAAAATTAAAATGCTACAACTGTGGAAAGAAGGGTCACTTGAAGAATGATTGTTGCAGTATAAATATAAACTCCAATCCACAAGGCAATACTGCAAACACTTCAGATGATGGAGATGCTCTATGTTGTGAAGCGTCAACCACCGTAAAAGATATAAAGATATTTACAGATATATGACTCATTGATTGGAGAGCAACATATCACATTACCTCAAGAAGAGAATGGTTTCAACATTATGAACTTGTCTCAGGAGGATTTGTGTATAGTTGCAATGATCATGCCTTAGAGATCGTTGGCGTTGGAACCATCAAATTGAAGATGTATGATGGAACAATTAAAGTTGTTCGAGATGTGCGACATGTGAAAGGCCTGAAGAAAAATTTATTATCCTACGGATTGTTGGATAGTAATGCAAGCAAGATTGAAACACGGAAAAGAATCATGAAGGTGTTCCGTGGAGTGCTTGTGGTGATGAAAGGCGAAAAGATATCAACAAACTTATACATGCTGAAGGGAGAGACTTTGCTAGAAGGGAGAGACTTTGCTAGAAGCAGAAGCCTCTGTTGCCTCATATAGTTCATATTATGCAATGCTATGGCATCAGAAACTTGGACATTTGTCAGAACAAGGAATGAAAGTCCTTATGGAGTAAAAGCTAATTCCAGGCTTAACAAAGGTATCATTTAATTTGTGTGAGCATTGCATAACAAGTAAACAACACCGGTTAAAATTCAACACATCAAATTCTAGAGGCAAAAATGTTCTAAAATTGGTTCATTCTGACGTATGGCAAACACCAGTTACATCCCTAGGTGAAGGAAAATACTTTGTCTCATTTATTGATGACTACTCCAATAGATGTTGGGTGTATCTGTCAACACACCTTTTTCGTCCTACTAGGATTCAAACTCTCAAAAATAGGATAGAATTCTACTAGGATTCAACTCCTAAAATAGGATAGAATTTTGCTATGTTTTAAAGTCCTAAAGATATGATCCACAAGCACTATAAATAGCCATTGTAGCTCACTATTGTAACACACGATTGGCATACGAAATTACCAGAAAAAATACGAGCAAATAGATTGTTTTGAAGCTATTGTAAACAATTCAGGAGCAATAAAAGGTGAAAGCTTTTACCTTTCGCATTCTTTTCTTCACTTGCATGTGTTGTTATTCGTCTTTGTGCTTGAAAAAAAACAGTTTTGGCCGAGGAAAAGGGGTTGTCATTCGAAACTTTTTCTTTTAGATCTACACAACCCCGAGGCCGCTTTGGAAAAATACTAGGATATTTAAAACGAAGGAAAGATTTGTCGCCGATGAACGGTCCCTTATGTATTATTTTCATATTTTTATTTATTTCTTTTTGATAAATCGTATTATTAAGTATATATATATATAATTATTTTTATTCTAATATTATTTTAATGTTTTTTAAAGTTATTATATATATATATATTTATAACTATTATATTATTATTATTTTACTATTAACGTATATAAATATATTTTCTCTTTTGATATTATTATTATCATTATATGTATATTTTTTATTGTATTTTATTTTTATTTTTTTTTTTAAAACATATGCATATATATACATTTAATTATATTTTTATTTTATACTTCTTTATTTTTATTTTTTTCATGTATTTATATTATATTACATTATTATTATTTTACTTTATTAAATTATTTTTTTTCGTTATTATATTTATTATATATATATATTATCATAATGTTTTTTGTTTATTCATTCTTACTATATTATAGGGATACATCACACTCATTTATTAACTACAGTTCCACCCCTTATCGTCTTTTTCCTTCCCGACAGTTATACTTCACCAAACCTTGACTTTCTTTTTTTACTTTTTTGGTGTGATTGCGTTTTTTATTTTACTACTTATTATCATTATTATTATTTTGCACTTAATAATTATATGTTTTTATTCCTCTTTTAGTTTTTCATCATTTTTTTATTTTTTTTCCTTCTATTTTCTTTATTTCATTTACTCTTATTTCCTTTTTCCTTTAACGCGTTTCTCGACTTTTTAAGGGTACTCTTTCAAATTGATCGGAGGTAAGTAATTTTGGATCATATGTTACCTTTAAATTTTAACTTTCGATTTTCTTAATTAAAAACAACTGGAAATTACGTAGTACCGAAACGACGGTTCAAGGGTGCTAATCCTTCCTTGACCGTAACCGACTCTCGAATCCGACATATCTTTGGTAAGACGCAGATCAAGTAAGATATAAGGTATCCGATTAACTATTTATTTTTTTAAATAAATAATCGGTGGCGACTCCAATCACATTTTTCAAGTCGTAGCCCAATTCCGGGGCCCAACCGAAAGACGGTTACGACAGCTTGGCGACTCTGCTGGGGACACAGGTAAGTGAGTCAGGCTAAGGTAATTTCCAGTTGTCTTTTTAACGAAAAGGGTAAGTTTAAATTTTAAGGTAATATTCCGATCCTTTTTACTTACTTTTGATTATATTTTCGAGTAAATAGTTGGACTAATCGTTTTCTCATGATTTCAGCCTTCAAAGATTTTTTTT